GAAATAGCTTGAGACGAGAATTAAAGAGCAGAACTTTGTCTCCCTCCTTAAATTCCTTCCTTGCAATACGGGAGTCATGCCATGCTTTGGTTCTTTCTTTGTAAGTTCGGGCATTCTCATACACTTGATTCCTCCATTCTTCTATTTTATCACCTGCATCACTCAAATCAAAATTCAAAAATTTGATAGCCCAGTAAGCTTTATGTTCCAACTCAATGGGTAAATGTCAAGCCTTACCAAAAACTAATAAAGACATACCTATTTGGGTGTTGAATGCAGTACGGTAAGCCCAAAGTGCATCATCTAATTTTAAGGACCAATCTCATCTAGATGTGCTAACTGTCTTTTCTAAAATCTGTTTTAATTCTCTATTAGAGACCTCCACTTGGCCGCTAGTTTGAGGGTAGTAAGGGGTTGCAATTCTATGGGTAACACCATATTTGTTCAACAAATGCTCGAATTTTTTATTACAAAAATGCTTTCCCTCATCACTTATGACAGCTCTAGGTGTTCCAAAACAAGTGAATATAAACTTTTTCATAAATTTAATAACAACCCGAGCATCATTAGTTGGATATGCGCATGCTTTCACCCATTTACTCACATAGTCCACAGCTAAAAGTATGTATGAATTATTAACAGACTTAGGAAAAGGCCCCATGAAATTGATGCCCCAAACATCAAAAATTTCACAAACAAGAATATTGTTCAAGGGCATCTCATTTCGACGGGAGATATYACCTGTCCTTTGACAATGACCACAAGCACTTACATAAGAGTAAACATCCTTGAAGAGCAAAGGCTAGTAAAAACCGCTCTGAAGAATTTTTGAAGCAGTTCTTGATGCTCCATGGTGACCTACTGCTTCCTTGTCATGGCAGAAACTTATAACACTCCGCACTTCCTCCTCAAGAATATATCCTTATCATTCCATCCATACAAATTTTATAAAGGTAGGGTTCATCCCACAAGTAATGCTTCACGTTAGAGAAAAATTTCTTTCTGTTGATATGTCAAGTGAAGTGGCGCCACCTTTCCTGCCAAAAAATTAGCAAAATCAGCAAACCAAGGTTCATTTTTTATGTTAATCGCATACAATTACTCATCTGGGAATTCATCATGCAATGGGAAATCATTAATGTTTTCAACATAATTTTCATCAAGCCTTGATAAATGATCAGCTACTTTATTTTCACTACCCTTCTTATCCTTAATTTCTAGATCGAATTCCTACAGTAGCAAAATCCATCGCAGCAACCTGGGCTTTGCATCTTTTTTAGCAAGTAGATATCTCAAAGCAGCATGATCAATGAGCACGATGACTTTAGACAAGAGCAAATAAGATCAAAACTTTTCAATAGAAAATATTACTGCAAGTAATTCCTTTTCAGTAGTGGAATAATTTCTTTGTGCWTCATTCATGGTCCTACTTGCATAATAAATGGTATGAAATTTCTTATCTTTTCTTTGCCCTAAGACTACACCTAATGTATCATTACTTGCATCACACATGATTTCAAAAGGTAGTTCCCATATAGGAGCTGATACAATGGGTGCTTGAATCAATTTTTCCTTGAGAGTGTTGAATGCATGCAAACAATAATGATCAAATTCAAAAGGTACATCCTTAATTAGAAGATTTGTCAAGGGTTTAGCTATTTTAGAAAAATCCTTAATAAATCGTCTATAAAAACTTGCATGCCCAAGAAAACCCCTAATTTCCTTTAAGGATTGAGGTGGAGGAAGTTTTCAATCAGTTCTACTTTAGCTTTATCCACTTCAATGCCCTTGGGTGACACTTTATGCCCTAGAACTATCCCTTTGAAGTACCTGTTCTAAATTATGTAAGTACACATCGATTGATGATCCATAAACGGAGAAATCATCCATAAACACTTCCATGAAATCAACAATGAAATCACCAAACAAAGACATCATGCAATGCTGGAAAGTAGTTGGTGCATTACACAATCCAAATGACATTCTCCTAAATGCAAATGTTTCATATGGGCAAGTGAAAGTAGTCTTCTCTTGATCTTCAAGCGCAATGGGCACTTGAAGATAACCATAGTAACCATCTAAGAAATAGTAATATTCATGCCTTGCAAGTTTCTCTATCATTTGATCAATAAATGGCAAAGGAAAGTGATATTTCCTAGTAGCCTCATTCAATTTCCTATAGCCTATGCACACCCTCCAGTCAGTTATTGTTTTTGTGGGAGTCAATTCATTATTTTCATTTAAAATTATAGTGGTCCCACCCTTTTTTGGCACAACTTGAACAGGACTTACCCTTGCTGAATCAGAGATAGGATAGATAATACCTGCTTCAAGCCATTTAAGAATTTATGTCTTCACTACCTATTGCATTTTAGGATTTAACCTTCTTTGTGGTTGTGCCTTGGGTTTGCAGCCTTCTTCCATCAAGATTTTGTGCGTGCACACCAAAGGGTTAATCCCTTTTATATCGGCGATGCTCCATCCGATAGCCAATATATGTTGCTTGAGCACCCWTACCAAATTTTCCTCTTAGAGACCTGTCAAATTAGAAGAAATAATCATAGGTAAGGTGGAACTTTCTCCCAAAAATATATATTTCAAATGAGAAGGTAAAGATTTAAAATCTAAAGCTGGAAGTGTTTCAATGGATGGTCGCAATTGCTTGGCAGAGGTCAGTCCATCCAGTGGTAGAAATTTTCCTTGTCTTGGCTTGAACCCTTCTTGACCAACCTCCAAATAGTTCAAAACCTCCTTAATTTCTTCATCCAAGACCTACACGTTTTCACAAGAATTATGAATGCAGCTTTCTAAAGGATCATCTAATTTAGATGCGTTGATTTCAGCTGCCCAAACATCAATGCAGTCGATTGCATATATTTCATGTTTAATTGTGTTAGGATACTTCATGGTCTTAAATACATTAAATACTACTTCTTCACCATTGATCCAAAGAGTAAGTAGACCTTTTTGCATAACAATTAAAGCATTACTAGTAGCAAGAAAAGGTCTCCCTAAAATCAAAGGCATTGTCCTATCTTCCTCCATATCCAACACAATGAAGTCAGTAGGTATAATAAAATTGCCCACTTTGACTAAAACATCTTCTACTATTCCCCTAGGATATTTAATACTTCTATCAGCTAATTGTAAGGTAATARTAGTAGGTGTTAGTTCATACAATCCAAGTTTTTCAAAAATAGAATATGGCATTAGATTTATACTAGCACCTAAATCACATAAAGCATTCTCAAACTCAGTATCTCCTATGGTGCAAGGAATAGAAAAACTCCTTGGGTCCTTGAGCTTTGGGGGCAATTTATTTTGAAGAATTGCTTAGCACTCTTTGTTAAATTTCATCATTTCGCACTCCTCCCATTTCCTTTTATTTTACATCACCTCTTTCAAGAATTTGGCATATCTTGGCATCTGTGACAATACATCAAGAAGAGGAATGTTAATATGTATTTTTCTAAACACCTCTAGAAATTTTTCGAATTGTTTATCCAAATTAGCTTTCAAAACTCTTTTAGGGTAGGGGAGAGGAAGTTTAATAGCATCTAAATTTAGTTTAGGTGTACTCTCTTTGATCTCCATTTGTGCATCGGCTACCTTAACTTTTTGATCATCATCCTTGATCTCGCCAATAGTCTTTCCACTTCTCAAGGCAATGGCATTCACTTGCTCCCTTGGGTTCTTCTTTGTATTGCTAGGCATCGTCCCTCTCTTCTTTCTGACAACATGTTCACGATCTGCCCCACTTGAACTTCTAAGTTCTTAATAGATGCCTCTTGATTTAAGAATCTCTTTTCGTGATCTTGAAGTTTTGCTTCAGCAGTATTAATGAACTTAGAAATCATGTCCTCTAAATTTCCNGATCTGCCCCACTTGAACTTCTAAGTTCTTAATAGATGCCTCTTGATTTAAGAATCTCTTTTCGTGATCTTGAAGTTTTGCTTCAGCAGTATTAATGAACTTAGAAATCATGTCCTCTAAATTTCCCTTCTTTTCTTGTGGGGGCGGCTGTTGTTGAAATCCCATGGGTTCTTTTTGTTGATTGTTATTCCACGAAAAATTTGGATGACTCCTCCACCCTGGATTGTATGTATTCGAATAGGGGTTGAAATTTGGCCTGCCACCATGAGAAACGAAATTAGCACTTTCTTGTGAAGCAAAATGATTACCTACCTAACAATCAGATTTTATATGTCCCAATTGGCCACAAAGGTCGCATGGATTACAAGATGACACATTTATTGCTACAACACTAAGATTGTCTAATTTTTTATTCAAACTAGCAAGCTGAGCAGATAAAGCTGTGAAAGAATCTATATGATGCACTCCCCTTCGATCAGTTCGGTCATTATTCCATTGGTAGCTATTTGATACCATTTCTTCCACTAGATCATAGGCTTCTTCTGGAGTTTTTCTCATGATTGTGCCTCCTGCCACTGCATCGATAATTGAGCGATTAGATGGAGTAATACCATTATAAAAAGTTTGAATTTGATGCCAAACTAGTATTACATGGTGAGGACACTTCCTAAGTATCTCTTTAAATCGTTCCCATGCCTCATACAGAGATTTCCTCTCTAGTTGAACAAATGTAGTGATATCATTGATCAATTTTTCTATTTTAGAGGGAGGAAAATACTTAGCCAAAAATTTTTGAGTCAAGTCGTTCCAAGTAGTGATACTTCCTACAGGGAGTGAGTTAAGCCAATCCTTAGCTCTATCACATAATGAAAATGGAAAAAGTCTAAGCCTAATTGCATCATCACTAACTCCCTTATGCTTGAATGTGTCACATATTTCTAGGAAGTTAACAATGTGTGCATTAGGATCATCACTCAGCAACCCACTAAACTGAATACTCGTTTGGATCATTTGGATAATCATAGGCTTGATCTCAAAATTATTGGCTTGAATCGTCGGCTTGCTGATGCTAGAAGTAGCCCCATCAATTGATAGAGAAGCATAGTCCAAAAGAGTTCGATTTGCTTCATCTGCCATCTCTTCCTCAACTTCTTCTGCTGGTTCGCCTTCTTCGACCTTCTCTCTATCTTTACTTTTGTTGGCTCTTTGCAGTATGCGAAGGGTTCTCTCTATTTCAGGGTTGAATTCTGCTAGTTTTTTGCCTCTAGTGCATGTCATATACTAATTAATCTGAACAAAGCAAGAATTTGAACACATTAAAAAAAGAATAAAATCCAAATTAACCAAGGTTAACAAGTTCTAATATTATTTTAGGATTAAATCCCCGGCAATGGTGCCAAAAACTTGATAGTTATAATTATATAACCCTAGCAAGTGCACTAGTTATCAAGTAGTATAAAGATATCGTTCCCTCGAGGATTTAACAAAATAAGTACTAAAACTATAGTTTCCCTTAATTATTTGGACAACTGAATTTTGGATTTAGCAATTTTAACTACTAAAAATTAAAGATAAAAGAAATAAAAACAAAGGCAATCAATGACTGAACTTCCAACGATCTACTTGAAAGTGCCAGGACTATTGGTCCACCTAACCATTCCAATGAACATCAATTTATTCAATTAGCCAAGATAATTTATTATTTTCATCAGCTGAAGTTTTTCCTAATTTGTTTAATATTCCCTTCCAGGATATATCAAACCTACTTCTATCAAGTAACCCTTTGACTCCTYTGTTAGAGTTCTCAAGATAGAAAGTGCACTAAGTTCTATGAAAAACCTGTATCATCAGATGAATCATGCATATATATTCCTATATACCATTCGGTTCACACTATGAATTATTTAGTCTATTATATGAATTCCCCTTCCGATTCATTCACATAAACCAAATCAACTAAGAGGYGGCCAAGCTCCTAATTGCATTCC